CGAATCTGAGCGAAGTCTCATCACCTAAAACCACGGTGGCGTCCTCTACATCTGTCGCATCCGAGACTATGACCCCAACGACGAGATATGTCTCTACCATGTTTGATACAGACAGCACCACAAAACAGGACTCGACGGCATTTTCTACTGCTCCTAATCTCAGCGAATTTTTATCTCTTCAATCCACTGAGTCTTCTTCCACGGTTCTCGCCTCACAGACCATGGCATCCCCGACGAGTTATGCCACATCCTCTTTGAATTTAGACAGTTCCACAACTATATTTAACATAATTTCATCCCAGCAATCAACGGACACTCCTTCAACTATCTCCTCATCTACGCTCCTGTCTTCGCCTTCGGCTGATACTTCCTCTTCCCTAAGTAAAGTTTCCGGTTCTTTCCATTTTTCTTAATATTCTTCATCCACTGCATTTTTTTTTCTCCTTCCCAATTTTGTTCTTCAGATTTTTCCACATATTTTTTAGTGTTTACCTCTACTTATTCTACTTATACTTTTTCAACTTTTCCATTTCATTCTTCCTCTCATCTCTCTTCTGCACTTTCTACTACTCTTTTCTCTCCTTTTTTTATCTTCCCCTATTTCTACCTCTCCCCCTTTCCATATAATTTTTTATAATACTTCATCATCCACATCGTTATGCAAATGCTATTTCTTTATTTCCTTTTCTTCACTACCCATTTATTGCCCTCACCTTTCCCACTATTTTAACTTCCACTTTCTCTCGTTTTATACTTTACCATATTTAGTATTGGTATGACCTCGATTTTGCAACTTGGGAGAGATTTTACAACGTATTTGGTCCTGCGTTCTCTGCCCTGAAGTATTTTTAATGATTACCAGCATCAGAATATGAACTTAGTGCATGCACAGACATTTCGTCAGCATTCTTAATGAGCGGCGCCGTGCTTAACACAGAGTTACAACTGATCGAGGTGGCAAGTTAATGCAATCCCATTTACCAATTTTCTGTTCAACCGCTGTGGCATCACATCTCGGCTCTGATCCTTGTCCCGGCTTCGAGTGCAGCATCACTTTCCATCAACCTCACTTCATATGGAAATTATCTTACCCCATTTTCGCAACCTGATCGTGTTGTCAAGGCGACCTAGTTGGACGCACCTCGTCCGAAGTCCCCTTCCATAGTAGTCATGATAATTGCCACCGTTGGACCATGTACTTGGTGCATTCCAAGACGTTTCGACGGCATCGCCAGTGAGTCTTGCCAATCTCAGCACCAGGAATTTTCTTCTTTGTGACATTCTTGGTGGTGGCAGTAAGACTTACTGAAGACGCTGACTACGATGCCGGCGAAACGTCTAAGAATGTACCGCGTCCACGGCCTAGCGCTGGGAATTATCATGACTATGACAGCAGAGGACTTGGGATAAGATACGTCCAATTAGATTGCTTTGGCAACACAACCAAGTTGCGAAAACAAGGTCAGACCTCTTCTGTACATCGAAAGAAGACTGCGAAAAAAGTAGATGCCACATCACCTTGGTCTCGACAACCGCTTCGAATAGTCTATTTACCCATTCACACACTTATGTCTGCTCGTTTCCTCCAATGTCGCCTGAGATTGTCGCTTCAAGAGGATTCAGCAAGGTCGAATCACCTTCACCACCGGTTTCAGATGTCGTTTGCAGAGCTTCTGAGCCATGACTTCTCACTTTCACTTAGCCCCTCCCCCATCCCGCTGGCCAGTACTTTCCTCAGAATCACCGTATGGCTAGCTGCCCTTGATCCTCCAATTCTGACACCCGTTTACGTCATATTTGAGGATTCAAAGATCGGAATCTTATTCTCTCTGGGCTTCAGAACAATGCCCAGTTATCCTCTTTCTCATCATCTTTCTCTCATGCCCTATAAAGAGAGCATGATTCATAACTGCTTGTGTGAAAATCGACTGTTTGCCTTCTCCACTCCTAAATCGCGGAAAGTAGACTCCTTGTCTCTCAAGTTGGCAGTCCCACCTAAATCTACAGTTCCATTGAGTTGTGTACAAGTACGTTGGTTGGTAACCTCTCTAGTCAGGCGTGCCAACAATCACACACATGCACATACACACGCACAAGGGACCAACTGGTATTGCGTCCCTACACGGCTTCTACACTCAAGGGAATTTTAAATGGACCTAGATCTTTAGCTTAGCACCTCTAATATTGTATAATTTGCATTTTCTGGCATTTAATTTAATATCGCATAGATATACCCTAACCGGTAAGTCTTCAGACAGATTCCAGGTTTGGCTGCTTTTACTGCAATCGCCGTTTCTTGAATCCCTTTTGTCCTTCGTGATCCTCTTTTTGGCGATGTTTCTTCCTGTTGTTGAGTAGATTTCATTTTTCCAAGCGTCTTCTTTTAGCTGCCCTCG